CGGCCGCAGCTCTGTCCACTCCGCAATCCCCTCCGGCCGCTCTCCCCGGCCTTTCCGGGTGTCCTCACTGTCCCTCTCCCCGCAGACTGCCGCTACACGTGTCACCAGGAGTGTCGCAGCCTCATCCAGCTGGATTGTCGCCCGCCGGGCCAGTGCCAGGTCCAGCTGTCCCCAGAGAGCACCCTGCTGTCACCCTGCAGCCAGGTACGCGGGGAGGGGGCTCAGGGGGGCGGCGGGATCGCCTCCGGAGAGGATTTCCTGCTCCAGAAGGCTTTTCCAGCCGGGAGGGTTTGTCCCAACTCGGGCTGGGAGTGTCACCCATGTGTCACCTGCAGGCCACCGGCGCCCTGCCCATGCGGGCTGGGTGCGGTCCGGCGGGATGGAGGTYGGGAATTTGGGTGTCCCTCTGCCCGGACAGGTGAGGGTGGAGCTCTGGAGTGTTTAAAACTCTGAGCTGCCTCAAGCAGAGCGGGGACATCAACCCCAGCGCCGCCCAAACCCCAGCGCCGGCCAGGGAGGGTCGATATCGGGGCTGAATGGTCCCAGCAGCGGCGCTAAATTTGGACAATCGCGTTTTTCCTGAACTGTGAAGGGTTCAAACATGGATTTCCCTGCCTTGAGCAGGGCCCGGACGTGGATTTCCAAGGCGTTCTGGCCGCCAGCCGCGTTTTGAAGGTTTCAGTAGTGCCGGGGGATGGAGACTCGTCCATCCGCGTTAGGGATGTGCGCTAATCCCGGGGTTACTCCGGAAGGCTCGGCTTTGCTTTAATCCCGGCTCCTGCGGTGTCTGGGACTCCTGCGTGGGTGGGACSGGCTGCAGGGCCAGGGAGGCATGAGATGTAAAATCCTTAACGCTGCGAGCTTAAGGCATCGCTGACAGACCTGCCYGGAGAGGATTTGGCTGGCGTGGAGCCTCTTCAGGCTCTGTGTGCTTTTAGGAAATGTTTGGAGCAGCTCTTCAGGGAAYTGGTGGAGTCACCATCCCTCGAAGAGCTCARAAAATGAGTGGMTGTGGCMCTTGSTGGTACAGCCTASTGGGTGTGGTGGGATTCAGCAGGATTTGCAGCCTCAATGATTCCCTGGTTCTGTGTTCTCTCCGTTTTTATAATCCCGTGTTTATGCCCCTCTCTGTGGAGGACCTCGATGTGCAGAACTGGAGATTTTGGGAATATTTTGCACTTTTCCAGAAGCAATGTGGGGTTTCTGTTGGGTCTGTGGGGTTTGGTTGTCACCCATCCTTTTCCATATGAGCTCTGGCCTTGCTGGGCAGCTGCTGCTGCTCGGAATAAAATGACCTGAGGGATCTGATGTGGGATTTATCTCTCCAAGTTATGCATTACAAAGGAGCTCAGAGTGCGTTCCCCACTAAAGGTGAGAAGCCAAATTTCTTCAAAATCTCCTTTGGGTGTCACTGGGCTTCCCCTGGCAGCGTGAGCACTGCTGGGATCTGGGAAAAACGAGAAAAATGTTTCATCTCCAGGGCGATCACCCCAGCCAGGGTTATTGATGGGGCTAATAACAAACGGGGAGCGTGAGCCCCGTGGCCATCCATCACCCTGACACGGCCCCGCTGTCATCCTGGGGAGGGGCAGGAAACAAAAGTGTCTCTGCAATTCCAGCAGCAGACAGAAATCCATAAATCCATCCCAAAAMCCAGGGATTGCACCTCGGGATCCTCAGCGCAGCAAAGCCCTGGCTGGGTTCCCCTTCCTGTGCTGGATTTGGGGGTTAACGAGGGTAAATCACTGCAGWAAAGCTTCATTTTTCTTTATGGATAATCAGGGAAAAATCATTGCCAGGTTTATTTGGTCTGAGCACACATTGCTGTTGGTCAAGCAGGTTTTGCTGCTGGAAAGGAGGAGGATGGAGGGGAAATAATGTCAGTACTGCAGTAAGAGGCTAACAGGATATCTGAGTACCATGGCAGGAGGGGAAGAGGCCTGAAAACACACGAAAAATTAACAGCTGGCATAGCTGGAAGTCATTAAATCGTATTATCAAAATTAGGCAAAGTGGAAGCAGCAGAGAAATGACTATTTTAATATCACCTATTTAAGCACTGTTACCATGTAACGCCAGGAATTAATAACTTGGGCTTGGAGCCAGGGAAATACTCCAGAGTGTGYCACATTTGGGTCCCAGATCCGCTCCCAGGGTGACACCAGGGCTCTGCTGAGCTGCCAAAATCCTCCCCTGGYCYTGGCAGCTCCWGGARTTTGGTCCCTGGGTTTGGCAGGGCTGGTGGTGTGCTTCCCATGGCAGTGGGATCAGTGGGGTTTTTTTTGGGGCTGATGTGCAGGTGGAGCTGCTGCTGAACAACRGGGTCAGGGTTATTGGGTTTATTTGGCTTGGTTGTGTTCTCACAGAGCTGCTGTCCCAAACAGGGGGACTGCAAAGGATGAGTGAGGGATTTTAGAGAATCCCATGGAACATCCAGGGGCTGCACTCTGGTTCTCTGAGGAGCTCTTGGGCTGAGGTTTCACAAAACACCCCGGTGCTGATGCTCCCAGCCCTCACTTTCTGCCCATTTTAAGCTGTTTCCCCTCTAAATGTATCCCGGTGGAGCTGAAGGGGCTGTGCTGCTGCAGGAACACGCTGCTGCCATAAAATCATGGATTAATTCCCTCTGCTCCGAGCTGCCGTGTAAATAAGGCTCTTGGATTCTCGCCTTCCTCTTTGTGAGATGCAGATGTTGCCTCCTCCCGCCTCCTTTCCCATCCCAATCCCGGTTTGCATTCACAGGAACTGTCAGAGCCTTGCAGCAGTTGGAGTCCTTCATCTCCAGAGGGTTTGGAGCAACATCTGCAGCCTCTYGAGATGGGAGGAGGTTTTGGTGCTGGGTGGTGGATGGTGTGAAGGTCTTGGAGCCCTGTGGGATCGGATGGAGGAGCAAGTTGAGATGGGATATTGGGGWTAAATCCTTTCTTGTGAGGGTGGGAAGGCCCTGGCACAGGGTGCCCAGAGAARCTGTGGCTGCCCCTGGATCCCTGGAAATGTCCAAGGCCAGGCTGGACGGGGTTTGGAGCACCCTGGGATGGTGGGATCCCRTGGGGAGCAGAGCCCTTCCCCTGCCCAGCTCCACAAACGCTGGGATTCACCAGGCAGGAAGGTCACAGCCACTCCAAAGCAGAGCTGAACAGGTTTTTCCTGGGCTGCAGTTGAAGCTGCCTCATCTGGGTGCTCTGAAATCAGCTGCAGGGTGGAAAGGCACCCACTCGTGATGGAAGGGTCTCCTGGCACCCCGAGGAGGGTCTGAGCTGCATCCTCCCCCGTCCCCATCGCCTCTCGGCTCCCTCGGACAGGTGATGCCGCTCCCGAGGATGCTGTAACAGGGATAAAGCAGCCCCCCACTCTCCGTGGCACCACTTTTGGGGTCTCCAAGGTGCTGCCGGGGGTCCCTGGGCGCCAAGGCCGAGCCCAGCGCCTCTCGGCTGACAGTGGGGGTGACAAATTTTGTAAGAGGAAGTGACCGAGCTGCGGCAGAGCGGGGCGAGGGCAGGAAGAGGAGGCGATGCTGCTGCGCCGGCACCCCGGGAGCGGCGAGCCGGGAGCGAGCTGGGAGTGAACTGGGAGCGAACTGGGAGCGAACTGGGAGCGAACTGGGAGCGAACCGGGAGCGAACTGGGAGCTCTGCCCCTTCCATGCCGCCCCAGCGCCGCTGCGCAGGGAGGCGGGCGCGGGAGGCGAGGGAAGGGAAGGGTTACCCGGCACGGCAGCGTGTTAAGGAGGAATCGCTCGGCAGGATGAGCAGAAGGAGCCGCAGATAAGCGGCGAGCCGGGGATGTGAGCGCGGGGCTCGCAGCGGGGACCCCGATGGTCGCCGGCCCCCCGAGCCCCCCGGCTCGCCCGCTGCCCCTCGCCTCTGCCGGGCTCCCATCGGCAGCAGCATGAGCAGCGGCTACTGCAGCTTGGATGAAGACCTCGAGGATTGCTTTTTCACGGCCAAAACCTCCTTCTTCCGCAGCGCGCACRGCAAGGTCCCCGCCAAGGTAAAAACCCGAGCGGTGCGCAGGGCTGGGGGATGCTGCTGCTCCCTCCCGCATCTTCGGCTGCCAAAAACCGAGCTTGGGCCGGACTCAGGGCGGGGAGGGGGTTCTGCCCTCTCCCCTGCGGGCTCTGCACCGCTGCGGGTTTTTCTCAGCCTTTTACGCGCCGGGTTTCCCCCTTCCCCGGGGATTCACGGGTGGTTTTTTTTTCGGCTTTGGGTGGAATCCTTTAGCCGTCTGCCCAGCGGGGACCTGTGGTGTGGCCTTGCAGAATCCGTGCCACGCGTGGGAATTGCGCCCGTGGGGTGGGTGGGAAAGTTCAGGGCAGGATTAATCTGTGAAGTGATGAAGGCGATGATGAACGTGGTCCTTCTCTGCGAGCGTGGGGCTGTGTGTGCCTGCCTTGGGGAAGGACASAGCGTTTGGCTGGGCACTGCTCACCCCAGGATGAGATTTCTGTCTCAGCAGCATTGACGAGGCTGYYTMACRATTTTTAAATGTCTRTTTAAAAATAAATAAATAAATTAAAAWTCCCTGTCATGAACTTTGGGGCCCCAAGCAGCGCTAGGCATAAAAGGAGAAGGCGCTGCTGCGGAAGTGGGGGTTTCACACAGGAACGAGAGCTCTGCAAAACCCAGAGATCAAATCTGGCCCAGGCAACAGCTTTTGCACTCGAAATTCTCCTGAAAACCGCCAGCACCGACGTGCTCCTGCTCAGCCTCTTCTGTGTTTGCAACCTGAGGCTGCAGAGCTGCAATCCCTGGCAGGTGCTTTGGGGTTCAGCCTCCTGCAGCAGCTCCACAGGCTCTCCTCGGGCAGGGGGGGGCTTCTATCAGTGGGGATTTTATGGAATTTCTCTGAAGAAATGGTTTAGGATGGGATATTCCCCGCCAGGCAGCAGCTCCCTCTCGCTATGATTAACCAACACGTACTGCTGGTTTCTAAATGTCATTGGATGATTCATTTGTGTAGGAGATGTGGGAGATCGGGGTGTTGGTGCAGCCAGAGCTGCTCTGTCGGAGCCAGGGCACTGCAGATCCTCAGCTCTCTTTGGGAATCTGCTTTGTGCTGTTGCTGTTTGGGATCTCTCCCAAACATGCTCAGCCCCCTTTTCCCCATCTCCTCACCTGGATGTGACAGGCGTGGGTGGCAGAGCTCRGGCTGCCAGAGAAGATGGAGCCTCTCAGGGGTTTGGTGGTGTGGGGAGGAAATGGTTCCTGTGCATGAAAAACAAAACCACATGCAGTAAAGGTGCTACTGAACCCTACTGGTGTCGTGTGATGGGTCTGGGTGAGGAGGTGGATTCTCACAGGGTGGAAACCACGCTCAGGCCTCGGTGGGAGAAGATTTGGGGGGGGTTCGTGGCTTGTTTGGGGTTGGTG